GTTCCTTCTCCTGGCGTGCAGTCCTCAGGCCTCGGGCTCTCTCGGTCCGACTGCTCGCCGTCCTCGGAGTCCCTCCTGGGGCGTCGGGCCTCCGGGCCCCATGGCCGATTGCTCCTCTTGGGGCCATCAGGCCTCCGAGCCTGTGTCGGGCAGATGTTACACCGGTGTCAGAGGTTTTTTTTCTTGTCATATATATATATGTATATATATATATATGTGTATAGGTCTATATGTGGAGCAGTTTTAGCTCTGCGAGGGAGAATGGCGGCAGACACGAACAATGAGAGCGAAGGCAGCAGGGAAGACACAGAACAGCCTTCGACCAGAAAGCAGCATACGCTTAACACATGCCGAACCACAGTGACGGGCCTAGGCCGCGAAACAATCGGAGCTAAATACGCTAAAAAAAGCACGCCGCATGTTTTAGGTGTTTTTAGCTTGTCAATCGCCCAGGATGCGACACGCTAAACAAAAACGCCCAGGGCGCTTGTAAGGAGAATCGAGTGCTTCGCCATGTCCTGGCCTCTTTCAACGACGCGCCACCCTCCAAGTGGAGGGCACCCAGGCACCCCCCTTATCGAGGAAGCGCAAAGATGGACGAAGGCGCGTGGATTAGCGGCGGGCCTCGCTTCCGTGAAGAGTTGGTGCGCGTCGTCGCCAAATCGGGCGACATCGAACCCATGTTTCGGGGCTGCCTTCCCTGGTCCATGGAGCTGGCACCCACACGCCCGACGGTTCCGTAATCCGTGTTAGCGTGCGCCCGACCTTGGCATGAGATTGTTTGCGTCAGCGCTGCGATGCTACGGCGCGCTACTGCAGCAGTCGAGTCCTCTGCTGTGCGCCGCGCGCTCCCTTTGCCTTGACTTGGCCCCGCTCCACTGTGCACTGGACTCGCTCGATATGGCTCGCCGCATGCCAGGCGGGCACGCCGGCTTGCCATGGCGGAGACTGTCCCTGGCGTTCCGCGCCCCCCTTTCGGAGTTGCGCCATCCGAGGGCATACATCTGGCGCGATGTTCGCGGAAGTCTGAGCTGGTCCGCCTTCGCTTCGCCGTCCTCGCTTCTTTTGGCCTGCTCTTGGGAGTAGGAGGAGGAGGAGGAGGAGGAGGAGAACGAAGAGAACGAGGAGGAGGAGGAGAGAGGAGAGAGGAGAGAGGAAAAAGGAGGAGCTGTGTCCCGCCCCAGGCTGCGCTGGGCCAGGCGGCTCAACTGGTCTCCTGGGCGCCCTCTGGATCTCCCCTTGTTCCTGGGCGCCTCGTCCCCTTCGAGCTCGTCGCTGCGCGACGGCATATATCCAGCGGCCCGGATGGAGCGCTGCGCAGATGCGCGCTTGCGGTTTGGTGCCCGCACCCTTTTGCGGACCACTCACACAGTCAGTCTTGGCCTGGATCTCTCGCAGGCGGAGCCACGCGGGTACGATGCGCGAGGTGGCGCGGTGCTCGTGAGAACTAGAGCCTCGAGGACGCACCCTGGCCTCGCAGTCACCGGCCCCTACGCGCAGTTGCCTAGGCGCCCCCCCGATGTATTAGGCGTCGCGTTGATGCCCTCTCGCTTCGTCGGTTAGTCTCCCCCTTCCTCTGTCATCCTGTCCCCCTCTGTATCGTGCATGGCTTAAGCCACTCCTCCTGCTCAAGTGGCCGTTGCGCTCCAGTTGAGGCTCCCGCGTTGTACCCCGAAACAAGGGGCCGTCAGATACAGGAAAGAATAGTCAACTGCGGAATGTAAGTTGGTTGAGGCATGAGTTGGTGTCGGTGCTAATGCTTGACAGTGCAATGATCGCGAGTTAGCAGCAGCGTGACCGGCTTTGATAAAAATTGCCCTATCGAGTACGTGCAAGCTGATGTGGGTTCTAGGGGAGCGGCACTGCACTTGACGAATTCTCTGTTCTGTTATGGTAGTTCGTTTTCGGCTTCAGTTGCAACGTCCTGGAGCAGCTGGTTTCGGTATCTTCCTTTGCTCGGCCGCACTCGATGAAGCTCCTTCTTGCCGCTTGGGGCACAACCGCTACCCACCAGACCACCGGGAACATGGAAAGCACACGCGTGGACACCCGTACGCCCCCCAACCCGAAATTTGGGGCTTCGGGTTGGGCTGGGGCGGTCTGGTAGTAAGTCACACGAGGGCCAGTCGCTGCCGACCTGAGGTCCTAGGTTGTGCTCTCGGTCGGGTGGGCACGCCGACCCGGCTTGGCGGTCATCGCCTCGCAGATCGGGGGCGGCCAAGAGGGGGGTGATGATCGGGGGGAGGGTGGGAAATCATGGCGGGGGCCATGCTTCATGACAGCTCCCCAGACTTCACGGCGCCTCTTCGTGTTTCAATGCCTTCCCTGACGCCCCCCCGTGGCCCGCGCACATGCCTGGAGCCATGATTTGCACACACACAAACACACAAACACACAAACACACAAACACACAAACACACAAACACACAAACACACAAACACACAAACACACAAACACACAAACACACAAACACACAAACACACAAACACACAAACACACAACACACAACCACACAACCACACAACCACACAAACACACAAACACACAAACACACAAACACACAATCACACAAACACACACACAAACACACACACACACACACACACCCCTCTTGGACGCCCCCTTCGTGGACGCTCCCGAGCAGAGACGGGGGTCCACGTGGTTCTCGGCCCGCCGTGCTCTCCCTGACAGGCCCCCGTCTCGAGGCCCAGAGCCTCCAGGACTGCACAGCTTCGTGCCGTGATCGAGTGTTGCCTCGCTGCCTGTGCCCAGGCTGTTATTCCGCTGGTCTGGCGAGCGCACGTGTCCCGGGAGCCGCCCCCTCGTCGGGAGGGCGCCGCTGAGCCCATCCAGCAGCTCCGACGCCAGGGCGGCTGCGTCGATGCGCAGCCTGCGTCTACAATCCAATGATAGAGAATGGATGCGTCGAGATTTCGCGCACTGGCCATCGACGCTCGACGCCGTTCCTGCCAGCGTGTGGTCTCAAACCTATCTGCATCCCCCATCCGAATGCTGGCGCCCATCTACCGCACGCGGCTAAACTATGGCAATCATGCACCATTTGGGGAACTGGCATCCCCGCGCGAGCGCATGGGCAAGATCTGGTAATTAACCTCTACTATTGCGCCTCTGCCGATGGCCCGTGTTCGCAACAGCATGCGGGACAGCGCGGCAGCAAGTGCCAGATGTGCCGACGAGGGAGGCATCGTCTGCATACCCGCACTCGATCGTCTGCCCTGCATCGTACGTCTGACGGGCCCAATGGGGCAGCGTGGCGATCGTGTCAAGCAGTAGCACTGGCATAACGATCACAAGGAGGCGCGCTTAGCGTACATCCGTGCGATATGCTTGATAAGGCGCAGCCTTCGGTCCAACGTACTCGCACACACAGTAATCAGTTTCTGTTTATCTATTGATCGTACCATATGTTGGCATTCTACCAGCAAGCCGAGGCGCTGGAATTGTCACAGTTTCCGTTCATATCCTGTCGAATGTCATTTTCTTGTCGACAACGGCCAGCGTCGTTGCCCCATGCTTCCACACTCTGGCCACGTTCACCCTGCTGCGGCGCGCGACGTAGATCGCCAGTTCTCTCGACACCTATCTCAAGAAACACTGTGATCGCCATGGTGCCTCGTTTGAGGACGCCTGCCGCCGGCAACCCATGTTTCTGGGCATGACAGGAATAATTGTGTTGCAACGCGCTATACGCGCTGTAATGGAAGCGTGCAACTGCGAAACAGCCTTGCGGCCCCACCCTTGATTGCACACTTTCACCAACCATTGCAACTTGGGTGACTCCGCCACTGCCTTTAAACAGGTTCAGTGGGAGAAGAGTGCGGAGGAGGAGTACGAGGAGGCGGAGGCATACAGGAGCAGAGGGTTAAATACCCAGCAGAAACAGGGCACTTGTGGAGGAGGGTGAGGAGGAGGAGGAGGAGGAGGAGGAGCAGGCCATCGCGGCCGCCCACCCAAACCCTCCCTTCCTCCTGCGCCCTCCTCCTTCACCTCCTCCCTCATTCTCCCTCTCTGTCCTCCCCCTTCCTCCTTCCTTCTCTTCCTCCTCCTCCTCCCCTTCCTCCTCCCCTCCTCCTCCCTCCCAGCCCTTCTTCCTTGTTCGTATCTGCTCCCACTCTGCCACCCGGCCGGCCACTAGCGAACCCATTCGAGCCTTCACATCCGACCCATGAACAAAAACGCGATGCACGAGGCCAGCGTTTTTTTTTTTGTGTGTGTGTGTTTTTTGTCTGCCGTTTGATACCGACGATGCAAAAGGAAACAGGCGCTTCACGAATCGGTTGGGGCGCGCATCCCGCGCGAAAAGGAGCCATGTAGTTCGAGGTCGCCTTTCCTGAGGATCGAACTCCCGCTCCAGCGCACGTCGTTCGCTCGCTCGCAGTGGTCGGCGCGCGGCGGGACGACCGTGTCGCTCTCGCCTCGCCTCGCGCGCAGATGTCGCCTGCCAAGTGGCGCTCCCGCCTCGGCGCGGCAGTGTCGCCAGGTCGTTTGGGGTGGGGCCGCGCGCGGGAGGGCGGCATTTCGCTTTAAGTCGGGCCGGTCCCTCTACAGGAGGAACGTGCAAAAATATGAAAAAAAATAGTCCGGGGACGTATCTTCGACCACTCCTGAGCATGTTGTTTTTTATTATTAGTTTTGCGTCCACAATCCGCCTGTAGGAGGGCACGCCCGACCTGACACGTCGCCCATCTGCCCGAGCTCTGTGCACGTGTCGCTCGGAAGTGCTGCTCCCGTGTGGGCGCGACGCCCGCCGCATCGCACGACCACGGCTGCGCGGCTTCCCCCCTCGTGCTTCCCTCCTATTCTCCCTTCCTCCCTCAACTTCCCTCCTCCTACCACCCTCCCTCTCTGGCAAGACGGCCTCGACGATAATACATATATTTATGTAACTTTAATCCACCATCTTTGTCAAGATCCAATTCGTCCACCAGGGAAGTGCACGCCTTCTAAGAAGGGCCACGAGAACCTGGCGAGGATCCGC